TCTTGTGCATCAAGAAACACAATAACTTTCTATCTACTAATGCAAATAAACTGAAAATTGAAAGACAAGCACTACTAAGCTATAGGAACAAGATTCTATAGCCCAAGTCCACACTGGGCTGGTCAAAATGACGAAAATACCCCTGAACAGATCAGTCCAATTCCCAAGAGTCTTCTCCACGCCAAATCAGAACCTGTTTGTTGGTCTTCTTCTTACGAGAATAGGCCTTATAATGCATAGACCGATCCCCATTATCTCTCCCCGACTTGAAAGAACTCGACCCCGGCAAGTCAAAGGCATGATATTGCTCATAAAGTTCTGGATTAAGATGATACAAATCTTCAACTGTAATCCATGAACATTCTGAAAGAGGTAGATTCTTCCACTTTACAAGAAACTTTTGATAACCCCCACTTACTGTAGAAATCAACTTCTCATCAAGGATGTCTTCAGGCACATTAGTAGGTGGAACCAAAGGTAGCTTAGTAAATCGGACTATGGGACAATCACTATGGCCATGATATGCACTTAGGTCTTCAACATTGAAGATTGGGCTAATTCCCATTTCACTTGGCAGCTCTAGGACATAAGCATTAGAACTGATTTTCTTAGTGATCTTATATGGACCTGCATTCTTGGAGTGAAGCTTCTTATAAAAGACCTTAGGAAAGCGTTCAGGACGTATATGCACCATAACCATATCACCCTCCTGAAAATCAGCTAGGCGCCTATGTAAATCAGCTTTGGCTTTGTATGCATCATTGCTAAGAGCAATCTTGCGCCTAACTTCATCATGGATTTCTCTCATGTGGCAAGCAAAACCTTCAGCCTCTATGCTAGTCCTGGCTTCTTGTGGCAAAGACACTAAATCAATAGGCCTCTTAGGCTGAATTCCAATAACTATCTCAAAGGGACTTCTTCCAGTTGACCTGTTAACTGAACTGTTGTAAGCAAATTCAGCAATAGATAGGATGGGATCCCACCTGGAAGTATGGTCACCAAGTAAGCAACATAGCAAATCACCGAGGCTCCTATTAACTACCTCAGTTTGGCCATCAGTCTGAGGATGGAAAGAAGATGAGAACTTCAGCTTTGTATTGAGGAGTTTCCAAAGTGTCTTCCAAAAGTAACTCATAAACTTAGCATCATGATCAGAAACAATAGTAATAGGAACACCATGTAAACGAACAATTTCCCTAAAGAATAGACTTGCCACATGTGAGGCATCTGAGGTCTTACCGCAAGGAATAAAGTGGACCATTTTTGAGAACCTATCTACCACAACATAAATTGAATCATGACCCCTTATTGTCTTGGGCAGACCTAGGACAAAATCCATAGAGAGATCTTGCCAAGGCTCATGTGGAATTCATAAAGGGGTGCACAACCCTGTATTTTTCTCTCCCTTTTGCCAATTGAAAAATTTTGCATTGTTTGATCACACGATCAACATCAGCCTTAAGGCTAGGCCAATAAAAGCGATCTTCTACCATAGCAATGGTCTTGTCCCGACCAAAATGCCCAGCAATTCCACCTGCATGTAACTCCCATATAACATAATCACGTAATGAAGTGTTAGGAACACACAAGACAGTTCCCTTGAACAAATAACCATCATGGGTAGAAAAGCCAAGATATTCAGATTGTTGTCCAACTTGTAAAGAACTATAAATGATGCTGAAATCCTTGCAACTATTATAATCTTTCTTCAAATGATCGAACCCCACAACCTGTACAAACATAGAATGAAGTATATACACCACTCGGCTCAATGCATCGGCTACTCGATTCTCAGCACCAGCTGTATGCTTAATCACAAAGTTATATTCTGCTAAAAATTCAACCCATTTCTAATGTCGACTACTAAGATGCTTCTGAGATTTGAGATATTTGAGTGCCTCATGATGTGAATACAAAACAAACTCTTGGGAAATTAAATAATGACGCCAATGTCAAAGACATTGCACAACAGCATAGAATTCTTTGTCATATGTAGAGTACTTTTGTCTAGCTTCATTAAGTTTTTCACTGTGAAAAGCTAATAGGATGTCCTTCTTGCATAAGCACACCACCTATTCCAACTTGGGAAGCATCACGAAACACCTCAAAGATTTTTGAAAA